AATGAACTAGCAGCCATTTTGTCATAAACAAGAAATGGAAATGAATATTTCACAAGAAAGACGTGTAATAATTGCTGTTCAAATAACTGCTGTTGAAGTTATGAATAACTACTTTTACATCACTTCTGAATTTTTGTTTAGATGGTAGTCCTTGCTGCAGATTTAAGAAGTAACAGACTGCTTCACAAACAAAAACAGGAGAAACTGCTTTCCTTTAGGAAAACAATGCATTCACACAGTTGTTGGAAGAGTGAGAACAAGGACTGTTTGTTAAGGAAGACATGTATAAAGTTTTACCATTCATTTCCCCACAGCAGAAGATACAACCTTGCAAAGTCATTGTAATCTATTGTGGTGGATAACAGAAAAGATACCAAACAATATCAGTGAGAAAGCCCCTGGAATTCCCCCAACATTCAGCTTTATTTTTACATCACAGAACTAACACTACATTTTTTAATCCAACTGCTTATCTTTCTCGTTGCAAAAGTACATTGGAAGCAGTTTATTCCTATCAGTGACAATGATGTACATAAATAAGACTTCTCTTTGCAAAGCAACATCATATTAAGATTCATCATTTCCTATCAGTTTTTTTTTTCCTATAGCATCCTTTAGCTTGTCGCCATTAAAAAAAAGTAGATGCTATATGATTTTTATTTATTTTATTTAGAAGATAACACCATCACATCCTCATCCCAAATACATATACCATGTCGCTAGGCTAATTTCAGGAAACAGTGCTTCAAGCACAACTACTGTTGCCACAGCAGCTCTTGAACTTGGTATAACAACAAACCAAAACATAAAAACCCAACACAACAGAATAATCTGGATAAGCTACGCTTCTTAACAGGAGTCCTTGGGAGCTACAAAGCCACTTCATTAAGAAGAACTAAATAAGTCAAATTCAACATGGACGTGAACATTTAACATCAAGATGCTTTCAGTTACAGGACACAGTGACACACTGCAACAGGTTGCCTGAAGCGGCTGTGAATGCCCCTGTCTGTGGACGCATTCAAGGCCAGGCTGGATGTGGCTCTGGACAGCCTGGTCTAGTGACTGGTGACCCTGCACATAGCAGGGGGGTTGAAACTACATGATTATCGTGGTCCTTTTCAACCCAGGCCCTCCTATGATTCTAGGTAAGCACTGAAGACTGTGCTATTTTCCTTTACCTGTATTCCATTAGGATTTAACACGTTGCTTCAAACAGGTGTGCCCTGCAAAGCAGTTTTCAGCTTGACACAAAATGCTCAATGTGTAGATGGGAGAAGCCCTCACACCAGTAAGAGGAAGCTCAGGACCCAAGCTGAATGTCACTGTTTCAGCAAATATGGTGATAATAAATTGGTCTGGTGGTTGGCAACCCTGCATACAGCAGGGGGTTGAAACTAGATCATTACAGTCCCTTTCAACCCAGGCCATTCCACAATTCTATGATGATTCCATGACAATTTAACAAGCAAATAGACTGCTCTTCTTTATAAAATATTATATGTAAGAAAAAAGATGTGCAAGGAACCATTCCAGGTTATGAATTCCTTAAATTCTGATTATTTCAGAGCAGGTTATGAGAATTTTAGAAGATGTGAGATGACTGAACTGACGACCATCCTGTTACACAGAATTCTTTATTAACATTCTTCACATCCTTAGGAATAACAGAGCTGTTACATGTCTTCAGAGAAAATTAGGTCAATAAGGGTGTTAACACAAATAGCAAAAGAAATGAAGCTTATTCAAAACAACAAACAACATCTCGGAGTTCACTCAAAGAAACAAAAAAACAAATCAAATTCTTTCATCCAGGGGAGAAGGAAAGGGGATTGAACAAATGAATCAAAAAGCCTGTTCTGGTTACTTGTTTTCAATTAATCTTTATACTTCAAAACCACACCAAACAGGTAAAAAATACAGGTACCAAATGGTGCCGTACGATTAGAAAGATGGGTACTACAAAAAGGTAGATAAAAAGTCTTTACCTTGTTGAACCACTACTTTTGAACAAGATTCAACAAGCTAACTAGAATCTAGGTCCTCTAGCTCCCTTTCCTATTAGACGTACTGTCACCTCATTGCTTCAAGTTCCATTGTAATTAAGAGAAAAATGCCCTTAGCAGATTTCACCTGATATAACAGCAACATCATGTTACTGAACTGTACAAAAAAAAAAAAAAAAAGCCCAAACAACTATATAAAACAAAACAACAAAAAAACATATTGTTGTCTATGCTGAAGAAAATCTTGAAACTACATAGTGACAGTAAGACAAATCAGGCTTATTTTCTTGCAGAAAATCTAAAATTAGGAGAAAAATATTCCTTTCAAACAATTTTATATTAATCTTAACATCCTAAACAAGGTTTTGTATTTAACATGTATTACAGACTGTCTTATTTTAACTCACCTTTCCATATCAGTCTTTCTTGGTAATCTATAATAAAAAGGAAAAAGAGAGCATGTTATCCATTGTTCCATTATGCTGCGTACCACTATAAAGAAAAGTCTTATTAGTAATCTTCAGACCAGTACAAGAATTTCCACATACTTATAAAAAGCATTTCAAAAATCCTGATTGTAAATTTCTCCTAAATATAATGAAGTTGCATGTTTGATAAAGGAAGTAGTTTGACAGCTCTACAGAGCAGCCCAGTTAAAGCTGCAGGGGTGGCAGAGTACTGTATGGGAAGTAGGAAGAATCAGGTGTATAACAGGACCACAGGACAACAGCCAGAACCTGACAGTTAAGCTGGAACTGGTCAAGTTAATTGAAAAGCTTGGAGGACGAAAGACTGAGCATGAGCCAGCACTGTGCACTTGCAGCCCTGAATGCCTTCAGTATCCTGACAGGTTGGATGAGGTCCTGAGCAGCCTGATCCAGTGGGAAACACCCAGAGCAGGGAGTGGAACTGGTTGCTCTTTAAGGGCCCTTCAAATATAAGGCATTTTATCATTATTCTATGAAGAACGTTCAAATCTCAAGATTTCTGCTAAGCCAGCTGTGGTATATAATATCACCACCTGTTCCCATCGAATATTTATGAAAAGGGTTAATACATAATAGCAATCATAGAACACCTACTGCAAGATTAACTTTGGTGTTTCTGATTCGCTTGAAATGAGTTTATCTTTCAATAATCTAGAAGTGAAGAACTATCATACTCCAGAACTTTAACTACCTGCACAACAGATACTACTGCAGAAAAAAAGGGGGCTGTCAACCCTAATGTCCTAGAGTTATTAATGGCACTTCATTTCCAAGTTATTTTTCATTCATGATGCTGGTAAAGGAGCGAGAGCTCTCTGTTGAAGGGAAGGAGAAGAATACTTTCCAGTTGGGCTTTTTAATAGCCAAATCCATCCTTTATGGAGAAATACAGTGGAAAAATCTAGTCACTCCACTTTTAGACGAGACACCACAGAGCTTAAAATCTTACTTGATGAATCAGAGTACCTAAAGCATCCTCCATTTCTTCTTCACACCACTTATCTTAGTTTATACTCAACTATACACTCAAGTCTAAAGAACCAGTTCTACACCATAAAACAAACATCGAAGACATCACCGGCAAGTGCTCCTCGAACAGCTAAAAAATCAGTTACTGCCTATAGATATCATAAACATACAGCAAAGACTTTTCACTGGCATTTCGGAAGTTTTCTCAAGACAAAGTAAAATTCCTCATCCTTTCTAGAGTTTGAGTGCTTTTAACCTCAAGTCAAGCAAAACTCTGCTTGCATATTTTCCAGATGCGGTGCTTTACAGGCAAATATGCTTGCCTTTCCCCTGCCATTTTCTCCGTATGTGACTTAATAAAAAATACACAATCCCTCCAAGAACCTTTGTTTAAACAAACAAAAAGGTGTGCATTTATTCAGAGACAGAATGCTTTCTGGAAAGCTTTTCTTGGCCTTCTTTTTCCCTTGCAATTTCAAGCAAAAACTTAGCACAACAGATTGTGAAATAATGGTCTTTCATTTTTCCCTCGAAAGCACTCAAGTGGTAATTTAAGGACCAGGTAGGTAACTTCAGGAGTTGCAACCCTTGAAAACAACGGAGTTTTCCACTTTTCATTGTCATGTATTTTGACATCACTACAAGCACTACAGGTGGGCTTTCTACCAGGCATTGAATTTGAGCACTGACTACAACAACTTTCACCCATCTGCTTTCCACCCCCGAGCCTTTTCCTCTTTTTATGACAGGGGACTCACTAGCTTTCACCAAGCCCCGGAACACAACCCGAGGAGAGGCAAAGCCACACGAACGAGGCTTTTTGTTGGGACAGGAGCTAAGGAAAGTGCAACCACCTCCCCACGCTCCAACTCGGCCCTGGGTCAGGCCCCAGCGAAGCCTCCTCAACGCCGGGCTGCGGCACAGGCGGGGAGAAGACACTCGGGAACAGCCAGGGCGGGTAGGGGGCCGGGGGCACTCACAGGTCTGCCAGCACGGTCAGCTCGGCGTAAGTCCGGTGCAGTAGAAAGTCGATCAGAGTGCTGAGCCGGTAGCCGGGGCTGGCGGCGGCTGTCACCGCGCCGGGCGCCGGCGGGGCTGGGGCTGACGCCGGGCCCCCGCCGGCCGGCACCAGCTGGTTGCTCTCCAGCTGCACTGGCGCCATGGCGGCGGCGGCTCCTCAACCCCAGGCGGGAGCGGTTCAGCGGCCCGGGGCTGCCGGCACTCCGCCGGCGGCGCCGGGACACGGCCCGGCTCGGCCCGCAAGGAGAACGCCGGGCAGCGGCGGGCGGCGGCAGGGAACGGGCCGAGCGGCGCTCAGAACTCACTGGGCGCAGGGGCTGCCGCCATGTTGGGGGCACGGGACCGGAAGCGAACAGCTGCGGCGGACCGGAAAGAGAACCTTTCCGGCAGAGCCGAAGGCAGCGCGGAGCGGGGGGGGGGGGGGGGCGCTGTGCGCGGGGGGGGGGGATGCGTGGTGGCCGTGGCCGTCGCTGGCGCTGCGGTTGCAAGGCGGTTGCGAGGACTGAGCGGCATGGGAGGGGAGGTGGCACTGCGTGGGGCAGGGGCGAGGGAAAAGACCTGGAGCCGGCTGCCCACCCCCGAGGAGCGGGGGTGGCTCAATCCGTCGTGTCTAGGTCGTGCTGGTGAGGCTTGGCGCCTGACAGAACCGTGCTGTGGGCTGTCAGGGCAGTGAGAAGCAGCAGCCTGCCTTAGGGTCGGGGCTGGTTCATCCCTGGCTAATAACCTGGGATATGCGAGGCGTTTCTAAAGAGCAAAGGGAAAGGGAAGTTGGAGGCGAACTTTTGCATATTTCTCTCATCCGAAATAACTGATGTTCCTAGACGGGGGCGGGGAAAGTCTGGAAACAATCGAGGTGGGGTTTTTGTGTACTGGTTACCAAAGGACGCGGCATAAGGAAAGGAAGTGTAAATCCCCTGCGTTCTGTGCTGCAGCTCACACCACTATTAAATCATACATTCCTTCCTACAAGCAAATCCCCGAAACAGATACAGTACAAGTTCACAAAGTTTAAAAAAATAAGTGACACTAGTTTTGTAAAACTTAAAAATCTCTTACTGATCTCATTCCAGGAGGAAAGAAAGCAACAAAAGGAAACGCTTTTTCAGTGTGAGAAATGTGTACTCAACCATCAAAAAATGAATAGGTATGCTGGTGGCAGGAAGAGTCCATTCTGTTCCTACAGGGAGCGTTTATTGCGCCGGGTTGTGAGCCAGCTGAAGGGAGCAGCTTCACTCCTTGTAATCTCTCTGTCGAGCTGGGAGCAATGTACGGACTCCTGCTGCTAGAGCTTGCACCGGCTGTGTCACCGCTGCAACAGAGGGCTGGTTGCGAGGCGACTGCATTGCTCCAGTGGGGAGTTGTGCCAGCCCCACTAGCTCGGCGCTCTGCTCTGCCAAAGAGAAGTTTGCCGGCTGCTTGAGTGGCAGTGAGATGAAACCTGCAGGTAGACGCTGCTGGTTGGATGGGAATTCTTTACTCATAAAATCTGAAAAATGTGTTCAGAACTAAGTTTTACTCTTTCCTTCCTCCCCCTGTAATGCGAGAGAAACGTCTACTATGTGCTGTTAAAAAAAGTGAATTTTTCAAATTAAATTACGAAGGATGGAATAATTAATACTATCTGGACTGTATTGTGAACCTACTGTAGGGAACCTGCTTTATTAGAAGGTTGGACTAGATGGTCTCCAGAGATCCCTTGCAACTCCTACAGTTCTGTGATGCAGATAATTGTTGCTCGCTCAATGTAAGGTCTTGCATATATGCATTTTTCTAAAGGTGTGAAAGCTTTTTTTTCCCCTCCTATATGCATGGGTAAATGAGTACCCATTTTATGGCCATCTAGTTGCACTGCTGAAGATAATCCCAGTGTAGATGAACTGCAATGCAATTCAGCTACGTACTATGAGAACTGTATCTTAGAAATACAGGCTTTTTGTTGTTGTTGTTTTTCCTCTTTCCATCTTTTCTCTTGCAGTTTAGTCCAGAATAAAATTCCTGTTGATTTTGAGACTTTGCTTTTGAAAAGGCAGGTGGAAATTGCTGGGATGCAATTTTGTTGTGATACAATTTGACTTTGCCCCTTCGAGGGCGGTTCCTGCAGTACTTTGCTCTAGTCTTGGTGAATTCTTCAGCGTGGAGAGGGGCTGAAGGAAACTGCATTTGCCTATTTTGCTTGGAGAAATTAATCAGAACTGCTGCAAGGATCACGCTGAGCTGTCCTCACAAGGCTGCTTAAGAAACAAGGAAGCTCTTGATACTGCTTTCAAGGAAAGGAAGAGCAGCCACACAGAATGTTGGGAAGGTCAAGGCTTATGCATTGTGTGCAGACAATTCTGATGTTGGGAGACTGCAAGATTTGTTGTTTCAACAGTAAGCTGGAGATCAGTATAAGGAGTTTGATAATCAAGAGACTGGCCTAAATATTACTTACGAAAAAAGAAGTACGTGTCTATGTGCTTTTGCTTCTTGTTGCCTTTCTGAGGCTGGCAGCGCTGTTTCTTTTTGTAAAAGCACTTCTAAGACGGATAAGCATTATATCTAAATTCAAAAGCCTGGCTTAAAGAAATTGGAAACAGGTTTCAGCTTGTTGTATTGGCAAAGGCACACCACCTGGGAGGAAAAAAGAAAAGCCTGTGAAGATTACTGGGAAGACTAGCAGGACATTTGAGGGAGAGAACACTGCACAGTGCTCTGATGTAGACCTGGTGAATTATATAGCTGCTATGGAGACAATAGATAAACTGTATAATTTACAGTTCTCCATCAGCTTGACAGACTGAGTTTGGATTTATCGAGTTGAAAAAAAGGACAATAAAGCTTCAGTTCAGACTGGGGCTATTGGCTCCTGCAATCTTACAGGTACTCAGCTTCTTAACATTTAAGAGTGTGAGTGAAAAATGGTATACTGAGTTGTGGGCTATGGCTGTGGACTCTGAGTTGGACCTGCAGTCATTATATAGGTGAGTTTGTTGCATGTAGATAAGAAAATGTTTTAAATTAATGTTTCAAGATAAGCAGCATTCTAGATACAATTCTCCAAATAACAAAATGGACTCCTGATACAAGATAATGGTGCGTTTAAGCAGAACAGTAAAGCAAAAGCAAGGAAAATGGCTAAAAATTAATCCAAATTGTATTCTTTGGTACAGTTGCCTGTATTTTGGGAGACATTGATTGGGAATTACAGAATTTTGCACTTTGCTACAGTAAGAGGATAATTCAGCGTAAAATATAACCTGATTTTATCTGTCAGGTGTGGCTTATTGTTTTGTTTGCAGTTGATCAAGAATAGTTGATCTCTTTCTATGGTGCCTTGTTACTGTGATTGCGGTCGTTTACTGAAGCTTCTGAATCTGCTGTTGAACACTTTTTAAAATCAGTGAAATTTTAACAATCCCAGATTGCGATTGCTCTTTCCTATTGAAGAAAGTGCCCGTGCCCATTTATGGGGAGGAAAAGATTGGCTGCGTTCATGTGAGTTTTTCAATTAAAGACAGATTTCTGTATTGTTGTTTGTATTCATTCACGTAATTGAGCAGTTTTCAATCTTTCTCCATGTAAAGCCAACAACACATTTTCTAGTAGTAATGGTACAAAATCAGACCTTGAAGGTCTTATGTACGCAGCTGTCTCCTACCTTTCTTGCAGACCAGACAAACCTCACACACTCAGCTATGTAGCTTTGGAACCTGTGTCCAGCACAGCCACCTGGCATGCAGGGCACAGCCTGCCGCTGCACTGAGCTTGTTGCTCAGCCTTGCTTGGCTCTCCTGGCCATGGAGCACAGGAAAGGTCTTAGAGGTGCAGGGGAATCAAGGGGAGTACCCGGCAGGAAAGCCTGCTGGGGCACACAGGGAAAGTGAAGCTATGCTCTGCAGAGCATTGCAGCCTGTTCCCTTGTGCAGCAGAACAGGCCAGAAACAACCACTGTGATCTCATACCCCACAGAGAAAGTGCCTGAAAGACATGAGGAAGCATTTTCCAGTGGAGGGAAAGTCCTGCTTGGCTAGGCACATTTGTCCTCCTACTACCCCCAGCATAGCTGCTGTAAGTCACTGATTAGTCTGACTTAAAGGAGGTTTCTGCTTCTGGGACAGAAATACCCAATCCTCTCTTAAGTACTGACTTTTTCTTTTTTTTTTTACAGTGCAGACAACAACAAGGAATCAGAATGTCACATTCTCCTTCCAATATTATTATTAATATTCTTTGTGACTCCAGGCAAATGATTTTCTGTTTCTCAGCTTCCTCATTTATGACACAATGGCAATAATGATTGCAAATAATATTTACTCAAGCATACAGGTGAACATTCTCTATTGGCTCCTTACTATTGCCATCATGGTGAGCCTAGAAGCCCAGTTTCAAATGGGGATTTGTTGGTCACACAAAGCTTGTTGCTATTTAGTCATGGAGCTAACTGTGATAGAGCCAGAGGGAAGGACTGCTGGTGAGTTTGGATTTCTAGGGAAGTTAGATATTTACTGTTCTTTGTAGCTGTATGATAAATACTGAATGGGAGATGATAGGCACACCATCTTGCACTCTACCAGACAGTCTCCCAGCCATCCTGTTTGTATGTTTTGGAGTTGGATGTTCTGTTTCTCTGTCAATCTTTTTAATCAGAGAATTATCACACAGGCACCTCCTGGACTTCATAGAATCACCGAATCCTTATATATGGGAGGGACTTCTGAAGGCCATCTAACCCAGCTCCCCTGCAACAAACAGGGACACCACAGCTAAATCAGGTTGCCCAGGGCCTGATCCAGCCTTGCCTTGAAAGTCTCCAGGGACTTGACATTTAAGCATTCTTTTAATAGTAAAAAAATAATTGCACACAAATATCATGTAGTGCAAAAATTTCTTGTTGATTTCTAAAATACTGTCTGACATTTAGCAATATTGTATCAAAATGCCTATATAAATTATGAAGGCTGGATAAGGCTTTGTGCAACCTGGTCTAGTGGGAGGTATCCCTGCCTATCACAGAGAGTTGGAACTATATGATCTTACAAGAACCTTCCATAAACCGTTCTATGAATAATAAAATTTTCATCACTTCTATCCTTTTCAGAAGACTTTTCAGAAAACATTCTTTTCAGAAGACATCAATGAATCAGATATGGTGTAGATGAGTTTCCAAATATAACATTGGTTGTTGTAGTGCTGCATATTGGGAACTTACAGTGCCTCTGCTTTGTGTTCAATACAAGTTGAGGTACGTATTTAAATTCAAATAAGAAAACATGCATCACTGTACATTAAGCACATTCCAGTAGCCAAAAAAGTTTAGTCTTTTCAGTTACAGCATTTGCATGAACATATGGTTTCTTTTATTATGATAAAAATCCAGTTGAAAAATACTGATGACCTTGTAATCACAAAATAGGGAAGAACAAATGAATGTTTTTATGGCTTATATTTGTATCAGTGCTTACATTATTTTTTGATAATTCAGTACTCCGTGACACAAATCACTGTTTGTGACTGCGCAGGGCTGTTGGACTTACAGTAAAACATTCTTTGCAAAAGTGTATTTGTGTGTGTTAGAGGAAGAGGCTCATGGCTGGTTACTGCACAAGTGCTTTTTTCACTTAATTAAAACAGGTAGAGAGGGAACAAATATTTGGAAAAAAAAAGTTTTTAGATAAGTTATTTCTCTTTTCTGATGTATTTTGCTCATATAATTTAGGTTGTCAACTGTTTTTGGAACAGTAGAAAATATATAGTAGCAGACTGAAAGTTTTCTGGCAGTCGCTTAGGCTTTGTGAAACAGTGTGCCACTGTGAGATAGAGCATCTCTTGTACGGGGTGTAGTGAAGTGCCCTACAGTTCTAATTATATGTTGTGAACAACCCAAGAAAAGAAACATTCTCCAAGTCAAAAAATAGAAGCATTGATCTGATTTGAATTTACAAAAGTCCTTTTTCTTATCATAACCCAAACATGGGTTGTTTTTTAAACGCTGAACATAACCGTATTAGTTTGAGATTTCTGGGCTTCTTTATTAACAATATTGATATTCACTGTAAATTTTAAATTGGTTTGTCTCTGTCAGGCTGGAACTAAATGTAGCTAAAGGACTCATTCTCTCTAAAAGAGTGTATTTTCATTATTATTGTTACTCAATTACAACACAGTTTACTATTTCAGCCACACAAACCGCATTTTTCTGTGGGTAAAAAATGCTTTGTTCACAAGTAACTCTGAAATAGGAGCAAAACTGTAACATCCATTCTAGACCTCACGTCTCTGAAAAGCTAACAAAGGAGAAAGAACCCCTGATCTAGCTCATGACACAGAGGTGATGAATTGCACTGCTCAGTCATTGCCTTGAAAAAGTTGACGATGTCATCCATAACCTGTGATTTCTCCCTCTTTAACACTTCCTGAATGTTATTCACAGATTTTGAAAAAAGTACACATACGCAGAAAAAATGCAAAAACAAAAAAAAAAAAGCGCTTATTTCAACATGAAACTTTGGGCAAAAAGGATTTGTTTGCACAGACACCTAAGGAGATGGAGACACGAGCAGGGAAGTTGATCTGACTAGTCATACCCAGTGGGAGAAGGACTGCAGCTGTGAGGTATTCTGTCCTAAACTTAGAAATCTCTCGATTGTATTTAACTGCTGCTGGCTACTGCATTCAGACAGTGCAAACACTCATGCTTTTCTGAGACAAGGATAAGTATCAGAACATGCTTAATTGCTATGTAGATCTGCAGCTGTGGTCGAATAGTGTTTAAATGCTGGCCCTTACACTCACTCAAAAGGAAAGACGTACATAGAGAATATGTCCGAGCCATTCTCCACTCAGAGTTTGGAATGTGAAGGGATGGGCTGCCCAGAGAGGTTGTGGATTCTCCTCCTCTTGAGACGTTGAAGACCCGCCTGGACGCCTACCTGTGCAGCCTGCTGTAGAGAGCCTGCTTTGACAGAGGGGTTGGACTCAATGGTCTCTAGAGGTCCTTTCCAACCCCTACAGTTCTATGATTCTGTCATTTCTAGGGTAAGACGGTGCACAAGAAAAATAGAATCATAGAATGGCCTGGGTTGAAAAGGACCACAAAGATCATCTAGTTTCAACCCCCACTGCTATGTGCAGGCTCACCAGTCACCAGGCCAGGCTGCCCATAGCCACATCCAGCCTGGCCTTCAATGCCTCCAGGGATGGGGCATCCACAGCCTCCTTGGGCAACCTGTTCCAATGTGTCACCACCCTCTGGGTGAAAAACTTCCTCCTAATATCTAACCTAAACCTCCCCTGTCTCAGTTTAAAGCCATTCCTTTCCATCACTTATCTCCAGCTCAGTGCTTTGTGGGGGATGTTAAAGGCAACCCTGGACCCTCTCTGCAGGGAGGATGCTGTAGCACAGGGTCCAGACTTCAAGGCAGGACAGCTTCTAGAATTGTCTCTTTTTTCTTCTTCCTGAAAGCATAAATTAACACTTTTATAGAAATTAGCAGAAAGTTATCTGAACTTCTGAACTCTTACCTCTGTCCAAGATGTCAGCTTTGACAAAAGGAATGTGAGAATGCATTTGACTCCAGAAACAGAAGAGCTGATTACATGTTTAGTTGCAAACTTGGTGGACTGCCAGTGAATTCTGGATACTCTTCAATGAGAGATCTGTTACAATTGAAAAATTGAAAGGAAAGAGAAAATGCAGAATATTACATTTGGAGCACTGCAGAAATACTGATCTCGTGGAAGATTACAGTATATTTTACCTATGGGTGAAAGGAGCAGGTTGCTCTCTGCAGCTGTAAGAGCACACAGACAGCAATTCCAAACAGTGTCAGTTTGGGAAGGTAATATAGGTTGAGGGTACAGTTACCTCAGCGTAAGAATCCCAGTTCTCCAGGAAACACAGACTTACTATATCAAACTAACAATTGCTTGTTCTGCCAGAGCTATATGAATAATATTATGTGACATCAGGCAGCACCTAGCTTGGTAGTTGTTCAGAGTTCTCAAAAGAAAATAGAAGCACTTGTACAGTGGCACTGTACTACACACTGAATAAATAATTTGGGGAAATGACTGAGCTCTATATGTCATATATTGGAATTGTTTCCTTCAGGTTTGAGAATATGACTGGAAAGACAAGCAACAGCAAAGCTCTCTCTCTAATGCCTCCAGAGTCAGACTTCTCAGTGTGATAGCTCAAAGTAAGACTAAAAGAGGTGAAAAAATGGTGTCTTTGTGCAATGTATTTAGGACAAGCAAAGGAACATTCACAGCTAATTTTAAGCAGCCTTCAGAATGCAGCATAGCACCTTATTAACTCACTTGTACTTAATCCATTGCATTCTGGTATTTTTAGAAGTCATCACGCAATTCAGCAGTACTTTCAACCCATATCTTCCTTGCAGTGGAAGGCGACACTCTATTTCTCATTTTAATTAAGAATTGGCTTTGACAATTGATTTAACTAAATTAATTTGGAAATGGCATTGAAAAAGCCTACTTTTCCTTCCTCTCCCCTTAATGTGGCATTTTTAAGTTGGCTGAATGTCTTTGTTGCAATCTAGGCTGAAGAGATCACAGCCTACCTTCCCCACTTGCCTTTGTCTGATCCTCTGCAGCGTGATGAGAGTTTTGTCTGCTTGAACCTCTTGCAATCTGAAACTATGGGAGGCTGAAGTCACCTTCACAGATCCAGGGCTCGTTGCCAAAGGTTTGCCTCCCTTCATCAGATTGGCAGGGCAAGTACCCGATCACAGTAACTTGAAAAGATCGGCTTTGAGTCTTTTGAAGATACTGCTTCTTCCTTTGATACAGAGTAGCTTATCGTTTTTGACCACATGAAAACTCGAGGCATACTCATATCGAGTATAAACAGTCCTATTTTGTCTGCACATAGTTTTATCTTGATCTGCTATCTCCCAGTCAGTAGGCTTGTTTAGCTTTGGGCTGCCTCTAATGAGCAGCAAAGGAAAACGAAGTCCTCTAAGCCATGGTTTCTCCTTGTTGTTACATATTATCTAATCAGGGTTCTCTAGAACAGGCCTTTGGAAACTTACTCTCTGCACAAGTGTATTAACTAGACTTATCAGACAGTTTATTTAAAGTCTGCTCGGGAGCAGAAAGAAACCTACAGGGATCCTTTTTGATGACTTTTCTTTCTGAATCTATGCTTAAAAACATGTAGTAAAAAACGTCCCTCTAATACTACTAACAGAGATGCAGTATGAAAAAAAAACACTGTACATGAGGTAGATATTTTAGAACAAGGTACAACAATGTCCCACTGAATGGTTTCTGTGGGAAAATGATGATGATTATTATTATTTTCAGTTGTAAATATTTGACATGACTGCTTGTGTATGGGAGAGTTTAGATTCTTTGCATGTTCTGAATTCTGTCTGATTTTGATGCCCAGATGAGCTGATGTTTGCACCTGCACAAAAAGTGGTGGAGGTGTGCATGTATACAGTATGCAGCAGCAGGAACTGCTGAGCATGACCAGGGGCATTATACTCTCTTATGATAAGAGTTATAAATTGATAAAATATGCAGGATGTTTGGAAGTAGCAAAGAGCAATGTCGAGGGGAGTTGTCGTATCCCTTCTTCCCAAGAAAAGGAGGAAGACCTGTCTTCTATTCCAGAACACTCATTTGATGGTCTGCTTAGTCCCTCTTTTCAGGGTGCAGTTTCTTTTTCAAATACAGAGCTCACAAACTGTGTCAAAGCAACTGAATTTCCAAAGCAGAGCAGCTGCCACTTGAACTATCAGACACCTGACTCCAAAGCCTCAGAGCGTTAGAAAACTCTCCCTGCACTCCTCATTTTTTGAGGAGTCATCTGAGCCCTTTCTGTTGAAGACTAATAATCTGCTATGCACAAAAAAAAAAAAAAAAAAGCAAATTAACATAATGCTGCATGCACAATGCTGCAACAGGAAGCCAACTTGCTACAGAACTGGGCTCTATTTATGATTGCAGTGAACCATGGGCAGAAAATCCAAAGAAATTTTAGCTCAGGAAAAAAAAAAAAAAAGTGGTTTGTCATAGAAAAAAGGGAGAAAGTCAGAGAAACCAAGAAACAGTAGGAAGCCAGATGAAGGTGGACTGATTTTAAATTGAGGTGGCAGAAATGTGTTCTGTAACTCATCATGATTGATGGGAATGAGAACTAACTAGGGTACTAATGAGGCCACTGGAGAACTATGGTTTAAGGACTCTCACAAAAAGGTGCTTTGTATTGAATCT